TGTCCTGCAGGCTCAGGGAGCATCAGTGTCAGCGCGAACTATCCGTCGACATTTAAATGAAATGAAACGCTATGGCAGGAGACCCAGGAGGACCCCACTGCTGACACAGAGACATAAAAAAGCAAGACTACAGTTTGCCAAAATGTACTTGAGTAAGCCAAAAGCCTTCTGGGAAAACGTCTTGTGGACAGATGAGACCAAGAAGAGCTTTTCGGTAAAGCACATCTTATTCTACTGTTTACCGAAAACGGAATGAGGCCTACAAAGAACAAAACACAGTACCTACGGTAAAATATGGTGGAGGTTCAATGATGTTTTGGGGTTGTTTTGCTGCCTCTGGCACTGGGTGCCTTGACTGTGTGCAAGGCATCATGAAATCTGAGGATTACCAAAGGATTTTGGGTCGCACTGTAGGGCCCAGTGTCAGAAAGCTGGGTTTGCGTCCAAGATCCTGGGTCTTCCAGCAGGACAATGACCCCAAACATACGTCAAAAAGCACTCAGAAATGGATGGCAAAGAAGCGCTGGAGAGTTCTGAAGTGGCCAGCAATGAGCCCAGATCTAAATCCCATTGAACACCTGTGGAGAGATCTTAAAATTGCTGTTGGGAAAAGGTGTCCTTCCAATAAGAGAGACCTGGAGCTGTTTGCAAAGGAAGAGTGGTCCAAAATTCCGGTGAGAGGTGTCAGAAGCTTATTGATGGTTTATAGGAAGCGACTGATTTCAGTTATGTTTTCCAAAGGGTGTGCAACCAAATATTAAGTTAAGGGTTGCCAATACTTTTGTCCAGCCCATTTTTGGGGTTTTGTGTGACATTATGTCATATTTGCTTTTCTGCCTCTGTTTTATATTTGTTCCAATACATACAAAGGGAATAAACATGTGTATAGCAAAACATGTGTTAATGCAATACCTTTTTTGTGTGAAATACTTGATTTTCAGGAAAAATATCAAGGGTGCCAACAATTTCGGCCATGACTGTATGTCCACTAGCTTTTACATTTAAAGAATGTAATTTAATTTTTACCTGGTGTATATACATGTATACAGATACATGTTCATTGTTGGATTATGCATCTGGGACTGTATTATAGTGCTCCCCACTTTTTCCCTTTTTTTATATTAGTGGTTACACACCAAAGGTTTTAATAAGGAAATATGGAATACGTTGGAAATATGCATGTTGGAAGGTAGATCTAATGCGTATGCCACTGGGTTTTGAAGTATGCAGAAAGGCCCAATATACCGAGGTGCCATTTTTAGTGAGGGAACACGAAGTCGGAGGGTATGGGAAGACAGCCAGACCCTCTCCCCAACTTACTCAGCATGGAGTTTGCACAACTCTCTAGAGAGTTGCAAAGATTTTTGGATCTGTGCACAAGTGGAATGGAGTTCTCAAAGATGTTCCTCTAATGCAGGAATACCCTGCGGAACAAATGTATAAAAATGGCTGGAAGCCATAGTTCGACACAAACAGAGATAATCAGGATACAGCTTTGATGGCATTATTCTGAGAAAACTCAGCACAAGGTAATAGGTCTGACCAGTTGTTATGGTGGTCTGAAATATAGCAACATAGGAACTGTTCCAAGGCTTGGTTGGCCCATTCTGCAGCCCATTTGGACTGCGAGTGATATGCCGAGAAGAAGGAAAGCTGAATTCCCAACTGTACACAAAAGGCTTACCAAAACCTGGACACTAACTGGCTACCCCTTTCCAAGATGATAACTTTAGGGTAACTCATTTAATAGAAAGACCTCCTGAGTGGATATTGATGCCAGTTCTTTGGATGTAGGCAACATCTTTAGTGGAATGCAATGTGACATTTTCGAAAACCAGTCAACCACCATAAGAAATAACTGTATTGCTCTGGGAGTAAGGTAAATCCACAATAAAATCAATAGACAAGTGGGCCTCTCTCCACTGAGTATGGGTTGTAGAAGGGCTACTGGAAGGTGTCAAGGTATTTTATTCTGAGCACACACAGGACAAGCAGCTACAAAGGCGGTTACATCAGCGCAGGGATTGGGCCACCAGAATTGTTTAGATATAGACCATATGAGTTGATTTTTCCCTGAGTGCCTAGCTGCTTTGGAAAAATGGTAGATCTGGAGCAAAGCAGTGTGGAGATTATGGAGACAAAGCAGAGGTCATGATGTTTTCCAAGAGGAGAATGGATTTGAGAAGGCAGAATTCTCTCACCCAAAGGTGAAGCGAGACTAGTGCAAATAGTAGCCAAAATGCAATCCGGAGGCATCACAGGAGTAGGGACAGACTCCATTTTGTAAGAGGAGAAAAAATATAATGCACCATAATGCATCTGGCCTTATTTTCTTCATATTGGATAAAAATGAGACTATGTAGTTGAAGCTTGACAGAAAAAGGGCCCACCGAGTCCATCTAGGACATAAACGTTTAGCCTCAGACAAGAATGTGAGATTCTTATGGTCAGTCAAAATGAGGACCAACACAGTAGTACCCTCGAGGAGATGCCTCCATTCTTTAAGAGCTAAAATGATGGCTAATAATTCTCTGTCCCCAATCTTGTAATTGCATTCTGCTGGAGACATTGTTTTAGAAAAGTAACTTCAAGGTTGCATATGGCCAGTAGTGGTAGAATGTTGAAACAGGAAAGCGCCTACTCCAGTCTCTGATGCATCAACCTCAAGAATGAAGGGTAATGTAGGATCAGGATGTGCCAGCACTGGGGCTGCAGCAAAAGCAGCCCTGAGGGATTCAAAGAGTTTAATGAAATCTGGAGACAAATTCTGTGGGTTGCCCTCCTTTCTGGTCATATCAGAGAAGAGAAATTACAAATACATTTCAAATAATAATTGGCGAAGCCAAGAAATTGTTGTAGAGGGCGTAGACTGCAGACAATTTCTCTGGGTCCATGGAAAACCCGGCAGGAGATATGACATAACCTAAAAATGTAACCTGTTAACGATGAAACTTGCACTTTTCCAACTTGCAATACAGGTTGTTCTCTCTCAACCTCTATAGCACACGGGAGACATCTCTGTAGTGGTTCTCTAGGGATTTTCTAGGGATTATCTAGGAATATGAGAATATCATTGAGTAAACCACCACACATTGCTGCAGCATATCTCGGAGGACATCGTAAATAAGTTCCTGGAAAACTGCAGGGACTAAAGGGCATTATGAGGAATTCTAAGTGTTCGCTCCTAGTATTATATGCAGTTTTCCATTAATCACCCTCTTTAATCCTCACAGGATTGAATGACCCTCTCAAATCAAACTTAGCGAAGACCACTGCTCCCTTGAGTTGGCCAAATAATTCCATTTTCAATGGGATCGGATAAGCATTTTTAGTAGTAATGCAATTGAGACCCCTATAATTGATGCAGGGTCTCAGTTCACCACTCTTCTTCTTCTTCACTGAAAAAAACCCAGCACCGGCAGGAGAAGAGGACTTGTGGATGAACCCCCAAGATAGTGAATCCACAACACATTCCTCTATATCCTTATCCTCCAAAACAGACAGAGGATAAACCCGACCACGAGGAGGCATGGCACCAGGCTAAAGATCAATTGTGCAGTCATAAGGCCGATTTGGTGACAAAAAACTGGCCAATGGGTCACATGGGCAGACTGTAGAGGTCTCCAATCAATAGCCTCAATGGCAAGTGGGGAGGTATGAGGCTGCAGCAGTATTGAGTACAGAATTCAATAGCGTAGTTGGCAACAGGTCTCATACTCTGTCTAATGGACATGAGGCTCTCGGCAGCAGTGGAGCGAGCAGAAATATCAAATACCCTTTTAACCACTTGCTCTACAGAGGATTTACCCCCCTTCCTGACCAGGCCATTTTTTGTGATACGGTGCTGTGTTACTTTAACTGACAATTGCGTGGTCATACAATGCTGTACACAAATGAAAGTTATGTCCTTTTTCCCATAAAGAGAGCTTTCTTTGGGTGGTATTTGATTAACTGTGCATTTTTAATTTTTTGCGCTATAAACAAAAAAACACCGACAATTTTGAAAAAAAAAAAACAATATTCTTGACATTTTGCTATAAAACATATCCAGTAAAAACATTTTAAAAATCAAATTTCTTCATAAATTTAGTCTACTGTATGGATGCTGTGAGAGACTTTTGATTTTTAGTCAAGGTAACCTGTTTAGAGGGCTTACTGAAGGTACCGTACATTTCGCTCCATAGGACGCACTTTTTTCCCCCAAAAAAGGGGGGAAAATGCAGTATGTTATATGGAGCTGCCAGTCCGGTATTTCCACTGCCAACACCTTGTCAGAATACTGGGCCGGCCGCTCAGCTCTTCTCTGCAGCAGGACCTTACCTGTTCCTCGGTCCAGCGCTGTACAGTCTTCCCGCGCCGGCATCTTTAGTGTGGGAACCCGGCTGCGACAGCCGGGTGCCCACTGCGCATGCGCGAGAAGTGCTGCTCTTTGTGAATGGCCTGGCATCTTCTGGGACCTGTCATGTGTCCCAGAAGACTCTGGACCATTCACAAAGCGCAGCACTTCTCGTGCATGTGCACTGGGCACCTGGCTGTCACAGCTGGGTGCCCACACTAAAGGGAGGACAACTCCGCGGAAGTGGGAGCGGGTACCTGTCAAATTCAAGTATCTGCTCCCCCTCCCTCCCCAGTTCACAGTCACAGTCTCTGGTCATCTCCTGTACTGTCTGCTGTCTCTTGGTCATCCCCTGTACTGTCTGTAGTCTCTTGGTCATCCCCTGTACTGTCTGCAGTCTCTTGGTCATCCGCTGTACTGTTTGCAGTCTCTTGGTCATCCCCTGTACTGTCTGCAGTCTCTGGTCATCAGTACTGTAGTCTCTGCAGTCTCTGGTCATCTCCATGTACTGTCTGCAGTCTCTGGTCATCGCCTATACTATGTCCGCAGTCTCTGGTCATCAGTACTGTGTCCACAGTCTCTGGTCATCTCCTGTAATGTGTCCGCAGTCTCTGGTCATCTACTGTACTGTGTCCGCAGTCTCTGGTCATCTCCTGTACTGTGTCCGCAGTCTCTGGTCATCTCCTGTACTGTGTCCGCAGTCTCTGGTCATCCCCTGTACTGTGTCTGCAGTCTCTGGTCATCCCCTGTACTGTGTCCGCAGTCTCTGGTCATCTCCTGTTCTGTGTCCGCAGTCTCTGGTCATCTCCTGTACTGTGTCCGCAGTCTCTGATCATCCCCTGTACTGTGTATGCAGTCTCTGGTCATCCCCTGTACTGTGTCCGCAGTATCTGGTCATCTCCTGTACTCAGTCCGCAGTCTCTGGTTATCCCCTGCACTGTGTCCGCAGTCTCTGGTCATCTCCTGTAGTGTGTCCACAGTCTCTGGTCATCTCCTGTACTGTGTCTGCAGTGTCTGGACATCTCCTCTGTGTTCTGTGTCCGCAGTCTCTGGTCATCTCCTGTACTGTGTCCGCAGTCTCTGGTCATCTCCTGTTCTGTGTCCGCAGTCTCTGGTCATCTCCTGTACTGTGTCGGCTGTCTCTGGTCATCTCCTGTTCTGTGTCCGCAGTCTCTGGTCATCCCCTGTACTATGTCGGCTGTCTCTGGTCATCTCCTGTACTGTGTCCGAAGTCTATGGTCATCTCCTGTACTATGACTGCAGTCTATTGGTTCAGAATATTTTTTTTCTTGTTTTTCTCCTCTAAAACCTAGGTGTGTCTTATGGTCAGGTGTGTCTTATGGAGCGAAAAATACGGTAAATCTTTTGAGGAAAACCTTTTTCCTGGTTTGCTGACTAGATAATTTATTTCAAGCATTAAAAACAAAATGTTGATCATCACAAAAAGTACACATGCTTATATATCATTTTGCATTGCCCCTCATTTAAGTCAAAACACCAACCTTGTAATTAGTCAGAATAACCTGATAATGAGTTTTTTTTTGTGATTTTTTTTGTGGTAAAAACAAATTCAACTAGAAGACCATATCTTAGATTTCTCGCTTTAAAGATGAGTTAACTGCAAAGTTTATGACAAAAGGCCTTATTAAATAAAATTCCAAAGATCATAAAAACTCTTATATACCTTTCACAACTATGCCAATATGTTGACAAAGACCATTATTTTTCTCCATTATCTTTTACCTAAAATGCTCATACCAAAAATAAAAAGCTTGAAGCCAATTGTTGAAATACTTTTTGGTCTATGTCTACCATCACCAGGATGATCCACATCTTCACAATCAGATTCACTCAAAAAATCCTTAAAGGAAGAGAGCAGTGACAATACTGTAAGTCCATAAAGCCACAATTTCAAATGTTCTTTTTTGGCAATATTCATGTTAAAACTTTGAGAGGATATTTCACAAACCATGGCTTCTTTTAGATTGCATTCAGGTATAATATGAGATTTACTAATTGAGAGGGAAACAAAATCAACATCAACCAAGGATAATAATGATAAACCAAACAGTTCACCATCCAGGGGGCTGCCAGCAAGATGGGGAGTGGTAGAACAACCTGCAGACAATTCATCAACGAAATTGCAGAGTCATCAATAAAATAAATAGGTTGGAGGAGGTCCTAAAGGAGTTCATCATGTTGTCCAGAAGAAGGCTCAGAGACCCCACTAAAAGGAGAATAAGCCATAACTGTTAATAGATCAGTGACAGGAAGAAATAAAGGTGGGGGAAGAAAGCAAAACAAATATTGCAATGGCTGCCCTAATCCCATGATGGGGTGAACTGCATTTGCTTCAATTTTAATCACTTGCTAGAACAAAGTATGAAACCAGCAAACACTCCATCAATATGCTTGTTCCTTACCAGTGACTTAGGGTATTGAATTCAGAGGATCAGCTTCTCAGCCAGCAAACTAAAGTTTTCAAAGGGTGAGAATAACAATGGCAGCCTATACAGTATATTTCTGTCTGTTCATTTTTATTTAACTACTTCCCCATGATGTCCAAGAACATCATGGGGGTTTGACTGGTTATACCGGGATGTTGCCTGCAGCTGCAGGCAACATCCTGGTATCTGTGTTTACAGGTGGTTATAGATGTTTTTGTAAAAAATGATCTTAGTACCTAATTAGCTGTTGGATCGCTTTTACAGGCAGTGGAAAGGGGTCCCTCCCTCCTGCTGCCACCTTGCAAGGTCTAAAAGACCCCAGATTTCTCGGTAAAAAATATCTGTCCCTTCCCATGCTGTCACAAGGGATCCCTTGTAATAGCTATAAAGTTGATAAAAAATGTTTAAAGGTACAGTGTAGAAATGAAAATAAATAAAATTAAAAAAAAGTTTAAAGTGCCCAGTCCACCCGAGCTCACATGCAGAGGCAAATCCACGCATTAGTCCTACACGTATATGTAAACAATGATCATACCAGACATGTGAGGTACTGCCATGAATATCAGATTGAGAGCGATAATTCTACCACCAGACCTCCTGTGTAAATCTAAAATTGTAACATGTAAAGGCTTTTAAAGCTTCACCTTTGGATAATTTAATTTTGTATAATTTATTGTATAGAGTTGTTCACCTTTTTGGGCGTGCATAATTTTAAAGCATAACATGTTCAGTATCTCTTTACTCAGTGTAACATAATTTTTTTATATTTTACCAAAAATTTGGTATTATATTGTGTATTTTTTCTAACACATTTGCTTTTGAAAAACTGTTGCGCATACCGTGTGACATAAAAACCCACCATTTTATTCTCTAGGTCCTTTGATTAAAAAATGTTTTTTTTTGGGGGGGGGGGTTTCTAAGTAATTATCTAACAAAAAATGTTTTTATATATATGTGAGAACTGTCACAATTGGCCTGGTCTAGGCACTTTTGATTATGAGGTCCTTTATGAGTACATATTGCAGCTGGTATTGAAAAATATAATTTCCAATATAACCCAACAAAAAGGATGTAGGCATAGGTACATATACTAACACATGAATATAATAGTGTGCTCATTCCTTGCTTTATAGAGATCTCTAAAATATTATGCATTAAGTCAAGTATAATTTAGAAACTTCAATGCTGTCCAGTAAAAGCATCATAATGATGATAATGCGTGTACTGTATTGAATGATTGTACAAGCTGCTTAACTACCAACTACGCTTAGATGGAATAGCCAATGTGAAAGGTTATGTATACCATTCTTGAAAATCCCATTAGGTACTGGAAATGTTATTACTGTTAGCAGTTTAAGTGCATTGATCTAGCAATGCACTTAACCATGACTTTTGTGGGGTTAATTTTTCAATTACCACTGTAGTAAGTACTTAAGGATTGCACTTGCTCTTCTATTTCCTACAGAGAACAGATAAATCCAAGGTATCTGAATGTGATCTATATATATATATATATAAATATATATATATATATATATATATATATAATCAAACTGTAACAATAATATTGTATTTCTTATAGCCAAACAAATACCCATTAGAAATAAGCTCATTTCATATATACCATTTTATTATATTTGTTCATACTTAAGTGAGCCTCAAACATACATTAACTCGTTACCCTTCACATCCTAAGCATTCTGTTTAAGATCAGTAAAATGCTGATAGTTTAGGGGAATTCCTTGTTATGTAAATAGAAGAGCTGACATCAGTGAAGTTAATTAATATTTTGCCCATAAGACCTGCTACAACTATACTTAAACCTTCTTGTACTTGTGTCTAAACATGTACCTAAATGATGTACAAAATAGACGTGCATTTTGCTTTGTTTTGATTTATTTTTCAGCCGAAAATTTCATTTTTGGAGGTTTGTATGTATATGAATCTCCGAACTGACATAGTAACGAATGTCAATGAATGAGAAAAAAAAGTTATAACAAAATTAACAAATACATTAGCTTCACACAGATGATATCACATAATGCGACAATTTGAGCCCATGGGGAAATTAATTAAGTTTTTGAATGTGTCTGAATTTTGAATTTGATCCAAATTTCATTCCATTCGTTAATCTGATGCAAATGATGCCAGTCGATATTGTCCAATTAGCTCATGCCATTCCTCTTGGAGGGTTGGACTAGCGTTTGAAAATATAGAATCTTTCCGATTCAAATCTGTCAAATTCGATAATATATCGAATATAAAGCAATTTCTGATAAAACTGGCACATTTTTCAAATCCATCTGGACCAACGAATATATGAAACAAATGTCAAAGATATAAAACAAATTCCTAAAAAGAATCAGGTCAACATAACGAATACGAAGAAATGAAAATTTTCAATGAATGAATGCATCCGAAATGAAATGAAATTAAAATTTCCGGGGTGCACATGCCTACTACAAAAACAACGATATTTGGTCCCCCCTAACAAAATCTGCAATCACATTTAAAGGAAGAATTGTAGGTGAATTACCTGCTGGCTTCTTGATCATATTATAGACAACTGCCAAGAGCTCTGTCTGTTAGGCTGTCCAACTAGTAGGTCTAACAAAAGAACTCTGACAGAGGGGAGACTTGCCACTGCTGTCGGAATACACTGATCAGTCCCGCCAGCTATAGCCAGTGGCATTGATTAAGATAATTTAAATCAGCCTGCCCATACATGGATCAAAATTTGGTGGGTACCTACTAAACTGGCTATATTTTGATCCATGCTTTAGAATTCTGAATCTTCTGGGTTTTGCATTTGACCAGATGCCTACTATTAGATTTTTCACAAATAGATAGCTTTAAATCTAATAAAATAATAGGATTCTTCACTGTGGCAAGCATAAATACCAATCAGAAATCTTAGTACCAGAATTGCCATTATATATAATAAAAGAATATGCTTTATTTGAAGTCCAAGTGGAAAATTATGTTTTCGGAAGTGTAAGTCCCCTCTGTCCTCCACATCTCATTGTCATCTCACACTTACCTCCACATTATTACTATACAGGTGAATTCGAAAAAAATTAGAATATCGTGCAAAAGTTCATTTATTTCAGTAATGCAACTTAAAAGGTGAAACTAATATATAAGATGGACTCATTACATGCAATGCAAGATATTCAAACCTTGATTTGTCATAATTGTGATGATTATGGCTTACAGCTCATGAAAACCCCAAATCCACAATCTCAGAAAATTAGAATATGTGAAAAGGTGCAATATTCTAGGCTCAAAGTGTCCCACTCTAATCAGCT